TGTGGCTAAGAAGATGGAAACTAATATAAACATGAAGGTATGTTCTTGAATGAACAGCACCAGTTTTGCACTGCTGAAAGATACGTTGAAATGAGCATTTGGAAAAATTAAGTAATGATTCAGAGAAGTCTGGCACTTACCCACACAGAGAATATTAAAAGAGAATCCTTGTTGAATAGATTTATTGACCAACTGATGAGGCAAACATTCAAAACCAAAATGACCAAGCATAGTTAAGCAACGGATATTCTCTTCTTTTTGCTGAAAGAAAACACACGTTAAAAGATTTTAATCAGAATAGAAAATATCATTTGAAGATCATTATAATATTTCTTTTTTAAAATATTTTTATTGTTTTTTAGAGAGAAAGGAAGGGAGAAGGGAGAGAGAGAGCTATTGATATGAAAGTGGAACATGGATCCTCAATTGGCTGGGTACCTCCTGAACGCCCCCTGCTGGGGTTTGAGCTGAAACCTGGATATGTGCCCTGACAGAAAACATTTCTGTCTTTCCCTCTCTCTTCCACTCTCTCTAAAAATCAATGGGAAAATATCCTCAGGTGAGGAGAGAGAGAGAGAGAGAGAGAAAGAAAGGGAGGAAAGAAGGAAGGAAATGAAATAAAGATATTTTATGCAAATGGAAATGAAAGAAAATCTGGAATAGCAATATTTATATCAGACAAAATAAACATTAAAACAAAGGCTGCAACAATAGACAAACAAGGTAATTTCATAATGATGAAGAGATCAATCTAACAAGAGGATATAACTCATAAACATGTATGCACCCAACAAAGGAGCACCTAAATATATACAGCAAATATTGATGGACATAATAGAGTATAATATAACATAATATGATTGATATAATAGCTTTAAGAAAAACATTTGTATTAAATTAGTGATATTACTATGATTAGTCTCCGAATTAACTTACTCTTTTCATATCAAAATAAGGGTTAAGATCTAAACTGTCTCTCAATAGTTGATGGTTGAATAACAGTGATTAGTAGGGAAGGGACCTGAGCCCTAGATGCCAGGAATCAACAAAAGGTTAATTGATAGGAATTCCATGGAGCTTTCATATTTAAAGAGAGTGTATTTAACAATACCAAACTGAAAATGTAATCCAATAAGAAATTTCTTAAAAACTTAATTCCTTACTATTTGTGCTCTTAGAAGATAGGACTTTATCTATATGGTAAATTCTTAGTTCTTCTCTACTTATAAACAGAACATTTTGAACCATATAATCTGAAGATTATTCCATTTTTAAAAGTATATTTTATTGATTTTTTACAGAGAGACAGGGAGAAGGAGAGGGACAGAGAGTAATATCAATGAGAGAGAAACATTGATTCAGCTGCTTCCTGCCCACTCCCAACTGGGGATATGCCCGAAACTAAGGTACATGCCCTTGACCGGAATCAAACCTGGGGCCCTCCAGTCTGCAGGCCAGCGCTTACTGAGCCAAACCAGTCAGGGCATGAAGATTATTTTAATGTAACAATAATAGATTTGGACACTCCCCTGTCCTCTCTGGCTTAGACTCCCTTTTAAAAAAGTTTTCTCATTTTTAACTCTGTAGCTCAGGGAGGTATCAGATCAAAATGCTTTGTGTGTCAAAATATAGAACAAAATCTAGCCCATTGTCTTATCAAGAAAGGACCTGCAACCTTGGCCTCATTAGCACCAAGTTCTTCCCACAGAACAAACAGCAAGCAGGGATTTCCATAGCATCATCACTATTACTTAACAAATGTCTTCTGATGGGCTGAAAGTTCTTTCTTACAGTATTTATTTTTACAAAATGTCCATCTTATGTAGAAAACAAATGTTTCAGATTCTACTAATTTGGAATCTGTGGTTATTCAAATCTTGTCCTTGAATGCACCTTTGAGTCAGGAGTCTTACTTATGAAAGGCCTACAATTTGAATGAGGATGAAAACTATTCAAAAAATGTTAAAATACTTGTTAATGTCATACCAAGTACCAAAATTCTACAAAAGTAAATATAAGGAACTTCGAAGAAGGGTAGAAGACTGTGGTATGAAGTAGTTAAAGATAATTCAAAAAGACTGCAGGTAGCAGATTGCCTCCTAAAGACAGGATAATGCTGATGGAGGAGGTAAGTATTGTGAACAGGAGATGAGTATGGCAACAAGCTTAGCAGCAGAATTATGGGCTACTGTATATGCCCTTGCCGTAAGGAACTTGCACACTTAAAGGGAAAGATTTAAATTGGGAAACTGGCTCCAGCTGGTTTGGCTCAGTGGATAGAGCGCCGGCCCTCGAACTGAAGGGTCCTGGGTTCAATTCCAGTTATGGACACATATCACAGGCATGATCAGTCCCCTCAGACCTCAATGGAGCATACAGTAAGCATAGTCATTGAATGGCTTTAACATGCCAACCCAGCCTTTTGAAAAATGTTTTAATTTTTCTTTTCATAATCTTGCCAGTTTTCTACAATCGAGGAGAGTACACTCTCTATCCATCCCATCCTTTTTAAGATACATGGTAACCAAGAAAATTCTCTATATTAATCTTACTAATTTTATGGCAAAACTCTAGATACTAAGTTCCTTGAAATAGTATATTATAGTGGTAAACAAGTGAAGCATAAATTATAATTTTGTTTATGCAATCTTTTATTTGGTTTCCCTCTTTTTAGAAAAAATATATTAAGATTTAAAAAAAGCTCTATTTGCATGTACATGTA